ATATTTCCTTACTCCTGTTACCTATGTCTACCCCGACACCTTCCTTGTAAAGTTTTGTTGATCTATTTTCCTCCCTGTCGGCATGCACTCTTCTCACAATCTCACTCACTTATTTACTTATTTGCTCGCTGGTTCGTTCACCTGTTCCACTCGTCTGACCCATGCGCCACCTTTTCCAAAAAGGCTGCTTTGTGGCTCGAAAGCAGAAGTGAAACCCCTAGAAAATGACGATATACCATGAGTAAATGCTATTTCTAGCTAGCCGACCCAGTTATCTTTTCGCGATATTTACAGTATATTTATGCCGACAAAGCATGCTTGTACAAAATTCGACTCGAAGAAAGTGTTACCACAAGCCGTCCTTGATAATGAATTTCTGACCAGCTGAAGATTTTGTCGCATAAGGGCTGACTGCAAGAAATTAAGTGTGTAATAGCCTTTGGGTTCGCATCATAGCGCATGCTAAGGGTGAAAAATGCTAGAGAAGAGATGGTGTAGCAATATAGGCGGAGGCACATCCTTTAATCACAAAGTGTTGAAAAAATTGCAGTTTATCGAAAACTGATACGGCTCTGCCACATCTGTCATGCTTCCGCTTCTTGTGTTTGATGTTCAAGTCTCAAAGCCTCCCCACGCTCAATTATCCCCTTTCCCGCGCTCAAGTAACTAGAGCCTTCCCGAACTCAAGTAATCAAAGCTTACCCACGCTCAAGTAACCAAAACCTTCCCGAGCTCAAGCAGCCGAATCCTCCCCGCGCTCAACTTACCAAATCATCTCGGCGCTCAAGTAACCAACCCCTCCCAATACTCACGTAATCAAGTCTTCCCCGCGCTCAAGTTACCAAATCATCTCGGCGCTCAAGTAACCAACCCCCACAATACTCAAGTTGTCAAGTCCCCCGCGCTCAAGTTATCAAGTCCCTCCGCGCTCAGTAACCCAACTCCTCCCAGCACTCAAGTAGCCAGGTCCCCCGCGCTCAAGCGGCCAGAGCCTGCCCGCGGCCCTGGCCAGCGTGCAGTGGAGCGCCGGCCCAGCCGCCCGCCGATTAGCCGGAGCACGCGGGAGCTGCCGTGATCGCCGCGGTGTCCGCAGCGACGCTGCGGGCGACATATTTCCCACGCCTGTCTCATGGCTTTCCGTTGCGTTTGGCTGCGCCGCGTCGATGCAGCTTTCACCAGCGGACGCTGCTGGCGACGTCCAGCTTGGGGGCGCTGAGTGGTGACTGACAGCAGCGCAGCCCACACTCCTCGTGAAGATCACTGTCAGGGGCGGAGCCATCACCGGATCTTCGGGTGGGAGCGTGCCAAAGTCTATATGGGACCAGGCCCTTGTGCTTGCGCTACAGCTGGGGGTACTTTTGCTAAATGAGGTAGGAGGGGGGCTGAGCATGAGAAAATCGCCACGACCTATCTCCAAAGTAACCCAGTAATCGATTCCCCAAATTTTGCCCACTTTCTTTTCAAAGGGGGCAGAGGGGGAGGGGGTGGCAGCCCCAGGCTGGGAGGCTGGAGCCATCCCCCCCTCCCCCCCCCCCCCCCCCAGCTGGGTAGCAAACTACACCCATGCACTAGGACCATGTGTTATCCGCGTCCTGGGTACGAACCCCGTCCTGTTGGGTGCGCTTAGACCCGCCCTCGTTCCCCGTCACGCTTCCGCACCGGCCGGGTGTGGCACCTGAGTGGTTATCTCCACCTCTTTAGACGTCACGTGATCCGTCACTTCGCGTCAGGCCAGCCCAGGGGGCGGCGGGCCTCCCTGGAGGTCTGGCCTTACCGCTGTGAAGCGGCGGTGGAGGGGCTGGCGGCGGAGGCGGTTCGGGCGGCCCGGCGGTCGAGGGGCCAATCTGTTCCGGCGGCGGCGGCGGCGATCTGTGACGACGCTGCTTCACCGAGCGCCGAGCCCGTCATTAGCCACCTCGCCCACGCGGCGCGGAGCCTCGCGTTCTTGCCCCCACGAGCACGCCTGTGCCAACACTCGAGGTCACGCGAGCTGGGTGCATTGAACCGCACCGAGCGTGTGCGCGTGCGCATGGACGCAGGCTGCGTGTGCCCTGCACGCCTCAAACTGAGACGAGGCCTCGCCTCACGGGACGCCCGTCCGGAGTGGGGATTCGGCGGTGGTTTGCGAGCCAGTGGAGCGGGTCGTGTCCCGCCCGGCTCCCTCCCCTCCAACTACCCCACACCCAGTGTCTGTTCTGGCATGGACCCTGCCTCTTGTCGAGAACAGGTGGACACGGCCGTACGGCCGGGGCTCGCTGACGGGGGCGGGGTGGGGGAGCTGTGATTACTGGCCACACTCACGTCACAGAAACAGGCCCGGGGCTCACTGACAAAGGCGTGGTGCAGAGCTGTGATCAATGGCCACGTCCCAGGCCACAGGAGCAGGTCCGGGATCACTGACGGGGGCGGGGTGCAGAGCTTGTGATCACTGGCCACATCCCAGGCCACAGGAGCAGGTCCGGGGTCACTGACGGGGGCGGGGTGCGGAGCTGTGATCACTGGCCACGCCCCAGGCCACAGGAGCAGGTCCGGAGTCACTGGCGGGAGCGGGGTGCGGAGCTGTGCTCACTGGCTACGCCCACGTCATAGGAGCAGGTCTGGGGCTCCCTAACGGGGGTGGGGTGCAGAGCTGTGATCATTGGCCACGCCCACGTCATAGAAACAGGCCGGGGCTTACAGTGCCTGCTGGAAATGCGCAGCATCATGGAAGCCTTTAAATTCACCATGGGTTCGTACCTGATGTTCTTTAACGCAAGTGAGCTTACTTTAGAGAGATAAATGCAAGCCATTTAGCTGGCGGCGGACCTTTTCTTGTGACTACCATGGCTGTATCGTCCACTTTTTTATCCGCATCCTCAGTAACTGGCTTAACATTTTAGTGTTGGGCCTTATTTAGAACATGTTTAGCCTTCATCGACATAAATTCCATCATTTGTTCCTCTCTGTCTCTGCACAGTAAACGGGACATCCACATAAGAGGGACTTACGTAGCCATGTCTCTGTCTCTGCACAGTAAACGAGTCATCCACATAAGAGGGACTTACGTAGCCATGTCTCTGTCTCTGCACAGTAAACGAGTCATCCACATAAGGGGGACTTGCGTAGCCATGTCTCTGTCTCTGCACAGTAAGCGAGTCATCCACATAAGGGGGACTTACGTAGCCATGTCTCTGTCTCTGCACAGTAAACGAGTCATCCACATAAGAGGGACTTACGTAGCCATGTCTCTGTCTCTGCCACAGTAAGCGAGACATCAACATAAGAGGGACTTACGTAGCCATGTCTCTGTCTCTGCACAGTAAGCGAGACATCCACATAAGAGGTTTTATGTAGCCATGCAGCGCCAAGCAAAGGCGACGAATATTTGCTGCTTTGATCTAGACAGTGCATGTCAAAGCACCCCTGGCCCGTCCTGTGTATTTTGCATTGATAGCCTGTGTTAGACGTATTGACTGATCTGTATGCGGAGATCGATCTGTCGGCTGCCATTTTTAAACTTACCGCGCGCCCACCATGCGGCTGGTCCTGCTGGCTCTGGTCCTCACAATAATCCGGACGAAATGTTGAAGCAGCCACGGATGAGCATACGGAGCCATTGACTAACGGACAGAAGCAGGGCTAACGTCAGCAGAGCGCGTGTTTTTATTATTATTGAAAGGCAGCAGCCCACCAGCGCTCTTGCGCCTCTCTCCGCCCTCTCACCACTCTGTCCACCCCTCTCTCCGCCGTCCCTCGTACCCGGCGCTGCGGGTTTGGTCGCCCTCCTGGTGAAGCGGACCGGTGAGGTGGCGGGGGAGACTCGCGCTTCCGGCCGGCTCGCGGACCAACGAGCGAGGCCGACGTGATCAGGAGATCAGGAGGTCGAAGGCCTGACCTGGCCATGACAGCCGGAAGACGACAGAGATGGGGACTGGGGTCATGCAGAGGCGCGAGACTCAGCTGGGCGCCCGCAGCGCCTCTGGGATAGTTGTCTTGCGCGCAGGGCCAGCACAGGGCGCCGGCGTACCCAGTGTAGGCCGCTGGTTGGCATGACCATAGACTGTGGAACGTCTCTTATTTGCGAAGCTGTGACGTCATTTCCCCACGCTCAGCGTTTGCCAGACAGCTAGTGTGGATGACGTGAATTCACTGATAGCTCGCATGGGGATGTCCGTGGCTGCAAGTGCTGGTGGCGACACTTTGTCTGATGGCACTTACCCTGTTGCAGATCAACAAGCGTTCGTCGCTGCCCTCCGGCATAAGCAGGTGAGGTGTGCGCAGCCCAGCCACGCCGGCCGAGTCCGGGGGGGGGGGGGGAGCGAGACGGACCCGCGGTATACCATCGATATACCGACAACGACCACACTTTGGAACGAAGCGTTCTGTGCACTACGGCGTCCGAGCCGCGTGCTTTGGGTCACTGCGATGCCAAGTGTTAAGCTCAGTCGAACACGTGACACCTTGTGCAGATAGCTGTACACGTGCTTCGCGACCCAGGAAGAGGACTGTCTTTGTGACTGTTTTGGTGACTGGTGACTGTCTTAAGGGCTATCAGGAGGTCTCCAAAGCTTAAGCTTTGACATAATGGAACATTGTGTCGGGAGCGTTGCACAGAAATAAATGCTTTTAGAAAACTCTTGATGCCTCATTTCCCTCCCCCCCCAACCCCCCACCCGCCCCCGGTACCCGTAACAGGGGCAAGTGCGTGTGGGTCGTGCACCACAAGCCTCTTGTCGCGATCTGGCATGGTAGTCATTACTAGAGCTCGTATTGGGAAATAGATTGAGGCCAGGCGATTCGTTGTGTTCTTAATGGTATAATGTCATATATGTGATGAGCTGGCTCCGCACCACCTTGCTCGGTTAAATTAGTATTTGTAATTATCAGGAGTGCGTGGCAGGCTACGGTTAACGCCGTGTGTGGCGTCCTCTGCCCAAATACGGGTTGGCAGCCCGCTCACTAGATGTCTCTGCGCACAGCCCCGTGTACCGGACTCCCAGCTCAACTCGTCGGGCCCGAAGTTCCAACTGTGATGGCGAGGACATGTACTCAGATATCTCCATAGAGGATGACGTCAGCGACCTCAACCAGAAGGTGAGTCGGCCGTCGAAAGGAACGGCGGAAAACTCGGCGACCTTGGGACGGGCTTGTGGTAGGCATCAATGCGTCGCACCGTGGCAGGTCACAGGCCCGCATCGACTGGTGTCCGGACAGTCAGCTTTTTCATAAAACGTCCTCACTACCTGTAACAGGCATAATAGCTTATGCACAGCGAGTGACAGGACTTAATTCAAAATTGGTGCACGATGTACGACGTGACGTGTAACTTAAGCTGACTTTCAGTGCCTCCCTAGTTTCTTAACACATTGATGTAATGCATTGTAGCTGTCAGTGAACACACCGATTTGGTGCCATAGGCATTTGGCCATTTTCTCATGCCACTCTCTCCCCTAAAAACTGGTTGCATAACTCAAAGGTCGCTAGACGTTTATCTAAAATCTCCTCCTAACAGCCCCGCCGCCGGTCTTTGTTCCTTGCGAGCACAATTTACGCAAGACGCCGCACCATTCTCTCTGCATGAGCCAGCGACCCACCGCGGTCCGCTGGCTGTCCGCTGGACCCCTCCCTGCCACTGCAAAGTCGGGTGACGTTGTCAAGCCCCTGCGTCCCGCCGCCGCGCGACGACGGAGTGGTTGTCACGCGCTTGCCACGCAGCTAGAGTAGGTTGACGATGTGTGATATCAGGATCTGCTGAGGGACGGACTACGCGCCCTCTTATTAACAAGTGACGAAAACAGCTGTCTGGAGGAAAGAGGGAGGGGCATGCAGGACTGCCTTGTACCTTCCGTCACCTGTATGTTTATGTGGAGCCTCTCCTCGAACCCTTTGGCCTGGGGGGCGGTTAACTCCGAAATCATAAACATCCTTCACGAACGCTGCATGCACCTTTCCTTCTCACTGCATTTCCGCCACAGGAGACAGAGATCGCGTCGTGCCCCACCGCCCTCTAAAAAGCTGGCTGCGCTAATGGCGGCATCTGCCTCTGATGCCACACGTGCAGCGGCCATTACGACGACGCGGGTTGTTGTGGCTCGCTGGGAGTAACGGCCGCGCCGCGTGTGCACCCACATGTGCCCTGCCGACTGCGCTGTGCACAGCGGCCGGCGCTGTGCAGACAGTGATTCACGGCCGGCGCCACTGCACAATACTCGGGCGTTTTTGTGCCGCGGCGGAACGGTCCGTAAGGGGTGTGTAACGAAGCGAGGCTCGCGTTAATTGCTGCTCCGCCGGGGGACCGGCAGCGGATAGGCGCGTGTTTCAGAGCACCGGCTCTGTAGGCGTCTGTGCTGGAGTTTAGGGAGTTTGGAAAGCACTGCAGCCCACTGCGAGGCTCCGGAGCTGTAAGCCCGCGTTTGTCGGAGGGTGTCACTCAATCGGGGGACGTGCGGTAGGTTCGGTCACGACTTTTGTCCATCAATAGCTGCATTAGGCATGCATGTCCTGTTTTTTGCATGAATCCATTTCATTCAACTGTTTCGTGCGTTTAGTGCCCACATTTCAGCTGGTGACAGGCAGGGTATATGAACTAGTCTCATTCCGCGTACAATGGAACAGCTACGCGCGCATCCGTGCATTTACTTGCTTCCTTCGGGTTGTTTCTTCTGCGATGCGAAAGCTGCCGCCTTCAACGGGATCCGAGCGCACAGGGAAGTTGAGCCAGCCTTCCCACATGTTTGATAAACACAGCTGGCCTGCCCGCGCCGGGTTCGGCTCCGCGCCGGAAGTCGTGTGTCTGGCCGAGGTCTGCCCGGCCCGCGGGCTGGCTGTGTCGCCGCAGCCGTCCTCTCCAGCCTGCGGGGCAGCCGGAACGGCGCGCTGCACTTGGACGTGGAGTGCTGCTGTGTGACCTCGCTAGTGTCTGTTCCCACGGGGTCCGCGTGTCAGGAGCCGCTGCAAGCTGGGGGCTTGCAGTTGCGATGTTTATCCTGATGTGTTCCTGATGATGAGGCCCCGCATATGCGTGGTCTTCACATTCTGTCCGTTGTCTGCTCTGCCGATTTGATTTGATTTTTGGCGGATTTGATTTGGTGTTTGGTACTAAAGAGGAATGGGGCGCATGTCGCGCACCCTTTTGTAATGTGCCACCGAATGTAGCGGTCACATTAGGACCATGGACCATGGCGTAACCCGGGTCCAAGCCCGCGCCATCATCAGGGAGCCAAATGTGCCAGCCACTCGGCCACCCACTCCCACGATTGTCTCCGCCGTTGATATATTTGGGATGTTCGAGCAGAAATGTTAGCTCCATTTAAACCTTCTCAGTCTTGATCACACGAAATGCGGGGAGGGCATTGCAAGATGGCGAAAGCTTGCGTCAGTTGGGCGGGAGAAGCAGGGGGGGGGACGAGTGGGGAAGCAGCATATTAAGATGCTGACGACTTTGATGTCAAGGGGCTTTTGGCTAAACGGTAGGTGGCACGTGTGTGTGTTGCGCCCCCCAACTGAGACTTAGTCCACGAATTAAGGAGGGGTGCGATCACTGCCCCATCTCGCCCACGGTTGCACCGAGCACCCACCTTTTGCGTCGCCTCCGTCCCCCACCCCCACCCCCCACCCCAGCTGGCCGCCAGCCTGACCACAAAGACCTGGACGCAGACGCGTGTCACCCGCCGCGTGTGAGCTCTGGCGGTTTATGGTGCGGCGAGGAACGCTGGCGCGGCACTGGCGCCCCACACCTCCGGCCAGCGAGTCCCGCCGCACGCACGTGTCAGCCACACGTGGCCACGGGCCAGGGTGTGGAGTGCTGCTGTGCGACCTTATAACCAGATCAGGTCAGGAGCTGGTCGGGGCGCTGCTTTAAGACGGCTGAGAGGCTCTGTGATCTTACGTCTGCTTCATTTGCATTGCTGCTGTGTGCAACACCTCCTCAAAGCGAGCTAGCTGAACTAACCAATTGCTGAGAGAAGCCCGAAGCTATGCAATGATTCGCACCACACTGGGAATAAGCCAGCCTTGCTCGTGTGGTAGCCGCATTTGAGGTAGAACTCCGGCTAGCTCCTTGTGCGCCACCAGTAGGCCCTGACATCGCCATGGGCCATAAGATTTCGATCTCACGTGACACCCGTCTGAGGCCCCCTCCCCCTCCCTCCATCGGCGGTCACCAGATGCCTCAGCTGCACGCATCTCACTCTCCCGTTTCACCCCATCCCCGCGCCGCTGACTCAGCGGGGGGCAGCGGCAGTGGCGCCCCCGTCGGCGGCGGCGGAGGCGGCGGCAAAAATAGCCGCCGGCAACGGCGCCCGCGAGGGTACAGCGGCGCGAAGGCGGGCCGGCCAGTCCGACGCGTAATCAGCGTGGCCGTGGGTGCGAGGTGCCGCCGGCGTGGTGCGGCCGTGGTGTGACGAGCGGTCAGTGGGGTCAGCGTCGTCGGCGGGGCGAGAGGTCACGGCGGTGAGGTCACGACCGGGCTGCAGGCGCCTGGCTGGGCATGGAAAAGTCGCAGTGGGCTGAATTGAGGTTGTGCTGGGTCGGCGCAGGGTCACAGTGAGTTAGGGCGAGGTCACGTGAGGTCAAAGCCAGGAAGAAGAAGACCAGAACGGGGTCATGTTTGGGAAGGCCGGGCTGCGTTTTCTTGTGCGAGGTCGTGCGTGCAAAGTCATGCCGCTGATGGTCATAGAGTAGGGTGCAGGGCATGCAGTACAAAGTGTGTGAGATGATAGCCTGAGTTGGGTTGCACCGACCGGGGAGACCAGTGGTTTAGGACGTAGAACAACTGATCAAGGAGCCCGGTTTTGTGCTTTCCTCCGAACACTTCCAAACTAGGCACTTGTGTAGGCCCAATCTCTACCTCTTGCGGTTTGGGCTCCTTTTTCGGAATACATGTCTGGGATGGATGGGACAGAATCTCTCCCAGCCACTCGGTCTGCCAAACGTTCTGTTGCCGTCCTGGTGGGATCCATCGACATGATTCCCCAGCACAGGGCGCGATTCCATTTCAAGACTACGCAGCCAGCACCTTAGCGCGAAATATTGTTTGACTTTAGACAATCTCTGAGACCATAACAATGGCCAGCGCTGGCCCGTATTCCTCCGCCGGGTAGCTGGACCGGGCATTAATCACATTCTGCAGCCTGCGAGTCACCATCTCAAATACCGAGGCTATCCCAGGCCTCATTAGTGGAATATAACCGGCAGAGCCGATGGCCGAGAGATCCAAAGCTTGGCGCGGTTCATCGGATCGGATCGGATCGGCTTGGCACGGTTCAGGCTTGGCCGACGCGCATCGGGCTGGACGCCTGTTATCAAGTGTGGTGCTGCTCATCTGGGGGGGGGGGGGGGCGGCCTGGTTAGCCGCTGACGGGGCCGTCAGCGCCTTCCGTGACGTCACGGCACGCTCGCACAGCCGCATCATGACAGTCATAGGCAACGCCAGCCTGGGAGCCGTACAGGCGGCTGTCAGTAACGGCGTAGGGAGAGGAGCGCGTTAGCGATTGAGATCGGAACGAGGGGCGATGTTTATTTTTTTATGTACCACGCCGGTGGGTTGAGACGTCTTGCGGGCACGACAAAGCGATCTGATGAAAGACGAAGGAGGTTGCAACTGTCATCTTGCAGGTTATGTCAAAAACTCATCTGATGGCAACAGACGCCTTTGGGGACTAGCACACCGTCTGGTTTGAGCAGTGCGTTGGTTAAGTGTGCCTGAAGCGGAAAAAGAACAGACAGGCCGTCACCGATCTGCTCTTTATGCACACAGGAGGTGAACTGCATCACCCCTCCCCTACCTCAGAACTGTCGTGCGTCCTTGTTATGAAGAACTGCCTGGTCAGTTTATTTTCCGTGAACGTCTGTTGATGCTCTCCAGCCATGTATGGCATAGTTATGCCTGAAGCCTAAGCACAGTGTGTGAGCCACGCGCGGTCACAGCCGGTGTTGGCCGAAGTTGAATACCAGTTATAATAATCTTCTGTGTCGTGCACGATCAAAGGGCTTCTAGGCCGTGATGTTTTAGTTTGGCCCTGGATGACAAAGTTTGGTTAATGCGTGAAAAACATCTGCGTTCCTTCATGCTGTCACATACTCTGCGCTTTTTT